AAAGATACCAATTAGTAGTGATTGAATTCCTTCTATGGTTCCACATGAGAAACCAATACGAATATAACCTACATGTCCAATTGAACTATGAACTAGAAGTCTTTTTACTTACGTTTGGGTCATGGCAGCCAGTGCTCCTAAGATCATAGAAACAATGCTGCAGAAAAAGTAGCAATTCTTTGTCCAGGAATCCAAAACCTAGACAAGTAGTTACAGAGTTAATATTCTTGCCTCATAAGGGTGAGACTCATTTTCATCTTATTATATATTTAATAATTTTTATAAATTATGCCTCACCGATTTATTATATTGAAAGCGTATAATTTATTTTCAAAGCCAAGTTAAAACCAATATTATTTTTTTAAGAATTTTAAAAACCATTTTCCTGGTTACTTGGTTTTGGAAAAGGTTAAAATATATAAAAAAAAGCACACCACATTTCACCATTTTATCAATTTACCCCTGAACTATTACTTTTTTACGATTATTATAATAATAATAGTTCAGTTACTAAATGGATATCAAAACCGGGTGATTGGAAACATAATTTTTTTTTTTTTTCTAAATACGGTTAATAAAGTATAATGGTTTTATCGCTACAGAAAAAATATACTTTTATTTTTCAAAAAGGGTTAATAAAGTATATCAAGTTATCCCATCATCTATTATTTTTTGTAATGATAATTAGTGAATTTAAAGAAAAATAATAGTTGTGTGGCTAAATCAATTAATGGTGAAAGTATGTTGTGCTTATAGACTTACCTTATTTGTTGCATTTCACTATTTTTCCCCTAGTTTGTAATCAGGAAAAAAGAGTTCCTTGAATATAGTAAAAAAAAGTATTTTGAAGATAAATACCACTCAAGTAATATTAGTTTCCTGTTGATCATAAATCTGTTGTTTTTTGCTAGTATACGAAGTATCATGTAACTAAATCATAAAGCTCATAGTAAATTATTATTTAACTAAATTCAGAAAACTTAATTTCCAAATAAATTCATGAATAAAAAATTGATTAAATTGCAATTTTTCATTCTATTGTAGAGTCAAGTGAAGAATTAACAAAATGGAAGGAGTCATATTCCAAAGTAATGGAACGAGTGCTTCCATTCCATTTCTAATTCCATGAAATCAATAGGTATATTTATAGAATCAAAAGTAAAAAAATTAACTCTCCAAATGCAATGCAGATGTATGAGTATAACTAAGTTTCTAATTGGTCTCTTTTAGGTGAGAATGTTCCGTCACCTTTCAGGTATGAAGATATATTGTAAGTTTACGAAAAAAAAAACTTACCCACCTTTTTACTATAACCATAAAAGTCTTTGGTCAAAATGTGGTGGGTTGACCTACGGACAATTTCTCAACCCGTGTTGAGATTGGGTGAACAATCAAGGGACATTTACATAAAATAGCTATGTCATTTACTTTTTTTTTTTTTTTTGTCGTTATAATACTCTAATATTATTTTTATTATATGATTATCTGGCTTCACACTAATAGAAAAGAATTGTTCGTCTCTTTTTTTTCTACACTACTCTAGGCACCAAATATTTTTACTTGACCATTTTGCCCTTGATAAAAAAATTATTTTTAATGTTGATTAAACATTCACTCCAATATATTGACTTGGTAAAGTAAATGATAGTTTTGCATTTTTTAACCATATATACTTTTTTTTCCATTTAAACAATTAAAATGGATAACTTGGAAAAAAAAAAGGTTTCAGTGGGTCCAACTAAATTGAAAAAAATGATTTGATTTAGCCACGTGGAGAACCTATCACTATTGAAACATTTTTCACATGGAGAGAAAAATTTGAAGCACAAATAGCCCTTCAAAGAGCCAAATAATTAACAGAGTTTGTTATTTTCCACAGTTTATATAATTATTAATTACTACCCTCCAACTTTCAAGCTATTACTAGAATCAGCTCTTACTACAAGCAAAAAAAAAAAAAAAAAAAACAAACTCACTGGAAGACAATGGTTCCAAAGTGGAAAAGCTTCTGCAGTAACTTATTATGTTTGTGACTTTATGCTGATGTGGCATTAATGACTTCAAATGATAATGATGTGGTGATGATATGACATTAATATATATTTTATATTGGCAGAGACATACAACACCAATCATGGAAGGATCTAATGATGAAGAGGAATATGATGATTTAGATGATGATTATGAAGGTTTGTTTTCTCACTTTTTTTTCTCTATTTAAATACTTATCAATATATGGAATTTATTTTGAATATAATGTCTGTCTGGTTGCAATATTTGATGTGTTACCATGTTGTTGACTAAGAACCACCACAAATTGATGAAGTGATACTCAAAATTTTGTCTATATCTAGAGTGCATTCCTCTAGTGTTTCCAGGTGAAATCAGAGTTTCAGTACATTTTTGTGCCTAGAATCACACAAATTTACTAAACCTAACTTTGATTTCTAGCAGTGATGCAGGATTTAGTGGTGGTGGATTGCTTATACAGTTGGAGATGCAACATAGTTCGATGAATATGGTGGCAGGTGCTCAGAATGTGAATGGGGTTGCAGTCAATGGACCTGAAGAGTATTTGGGTAATTCGAGGTTTTCCTATTGGGTTACTCATGGTTATAGCAATGGAATGGAATCACAACATAACATTTCAAACTCCAGAATTATGGATTCCATTTCGATTTCATATCAGTTAAATGAAACAGTTATGGATGACTCTCCTTCATATTTGTCGTTTAGTTTTTGAAGTATCCAAATTTGTGGATTATTATAAAAATTCAATTTTATGACCATTTTTTTTGTAGGGATATGAGTTGTTACATTAAAGGCAGCCTTACATCCAAGAAGTTTTTTCTTACTGAAAATTTGGAACTTAGTGTTAAACCATCATGGAGTAATGTGAAAATCAAGGGTATGCACAATCAAGGTAGAATATGATACAAGAAGCTCCAGTGGAAATGCCATACAGGCACGTTCTCGACATATTCCAGATAATGCAGGAGAACATGAGTGCAACAACAAACATCTAGAAAAAAAATCATTGAAGACCACCGAACACCATAAGGAACCACACTATTCCGACTCTTTTGTAATCGAATGCCCAGTAATGATCTATTAATGAATTGATATCTTTTTATTGTCATCTCTTGATACATTTATCTACCCCAAAAACAAAAAAGGATATGGAATGTTTTGGCTGACTGTTCAACCCAATATCATACGATCATATCAACTACCCCTGCCCCCTACGAAGTGGGGGCTACCACTATAGTTATTATTATTATTATTATTATTATTATTAATTTGACCGTTTGAGTTTAGATTTTTCCATTTATTTTGTATTTTAAAATTATTTTTTAGAATATGTCAGTGTAATATTCTATTTAGAATATTTCACGTATTTTTCAAAAAAAAAAAAAAAACAAAAACAAAAATGGGATTTTTTTTTTTATTTATTTTATTTTTTATTTTTATTTATTTTTTTTAGTTAATTCAAGTTTCAAAATTAATATTTAAATATTTTTTTGGATTTTTTTCCTTTATTTTGCATTTTAAAATTATTTTTAGATTTGATCTCACAGTTTCATAAAATTAGAATGGTATTAAATGAACCTCAACCTATATATATATATATATATATATATATATATATATATATATATATATATATATATATATATATATATATATATCATAATTTTAAAAATATATATTTAGTTTGAAAAAACGCTTAAATTTTTTTTGTCTATTTATCAACCAAATATTTTACGGCAAAATAAAAATAAATATATGATCGACATCACCGATTTATAACATTTTTATATATAAAAGTACAGTATCTCGATTTATTCCTATACAAAAGCAAGTAGTACAAGAGAATATAATTAAATTAGTAATTAAACCAAAAGTTGGTTGAACATCATATTATATTACAATATAATATAATATATGCAAAAACCAAAAGCACAATAAGAATGACAGCCTGGGTATAGTATAACCGTGACCGACGTAACGCCTGATGGTTTCATCACCTTTTACACATTTTGTTTGATTCCTTCCAGCCTCACACTCTACTACATCCCTCCTGATATTATATCTTTCCAAAACTACCTTCCTTGTAATTACCAAAAAGTCCTTCCCGCTCAAATGATTACAAGCCACATTTTGTACATTGACTATAACCTCCCTGACGTACAACGCGACCCCTCCTTTACCAGCGCCCAGCTTCACCTCTATTCTACATTCAACCGTTTCATTTGCGTCGCACCCGGGTAGAACGACGACGTATCGGAGATAGATGCTGTCAGTTATCCATGCAAGAACAGGTTTAATGCTGGATAGGTTTAATGCATGTTTCAGGGTCGGATCAATTAGGATCCAGTTTAGCGTTATAGATTCTTGAAGGTGTGATATTGTTGCGTCGTCGGAGTCTTCCACGTCTTCGACATTAAAGTCAATGGATCGAGGCATTCCGGTGACTTCTGGATCATCCTTTAATTCAATCTTGAACGCCGATGATAGAAATTCGGTTGTGGCGTCGGTGAATTCGGCTTTGGAGTAAATGATGTCGTCATGGTAGCGTATATCCACAACCGAGATGAGTTCAGATGGAAAAGGTTGATGAGTTAAGGAGCAATCTGGGTGGGAGATAGAGTAGGAACGATGGTGGTTAGGGTGTTTGACGACGGTGATTGGAGGCTGAAAAGAGTCTTGGAAGAAAGAGCGGTGACCGGCGGGGAAGGTGGAGATGAGGTGGTGAATACGTGGGTGGGTTATCGACGGCCATGTGGACTTGCAGATGTTAGACCAGAGAATGTCATCGGCGCAGAGAGCTCGTATATAAGATGATGCAGTTGCGGCGGAGGAGAGTGATTGACCGTCGAGTCGTGGGAGGATATGGGTCTGGATGATGAGTGGGTGGAGATCGGTGAAAGTTGATGGAGAAGAAGCAGATGCCATGGCTAACAGAAGTAAAGGTTGTCGGATTGGTATGGGCAGAGACGAGGTATAATTATAGCTGGGGTTTGAAAATGATGTGGATTAAAGTCGAAATATACACATAATAAAGTAGGCCATAAAAACAAAAATCGAAATTAAACAAGAAGACCACATGAGAATGTGTATATTTAAAATATTGTGTAAAGCAGATTCGAAGATCAGTGAACTTAAAATCAAATTTAGAGTAAATTTATTGAGACCATTTATAATTTGTAATTTTGGTCTATAATTTGTCTCTGTCATTCCTAAAGAAGATTATATAGCCCTTTTGATTTTATTTTTAATTTTCTATTATTTATTTATAATTAATCTAATAATAAAATAGTTTAATTACACAAATGGGACCCACCACCACCCACATTCATTACCTATACTTCACTTTCTCCATTGACTATCGATACCATCACCTGCGTACTTATCAACCCCGGTGAACACCAAATCTCTGACAAACTCCCTTGCAATCGTTCCGACACCTACATCCATCATCTACGTATTGTCTTTCCCTTTTTTTTTTTGTCCCTTACTCTTTTGTCTTCTTTTCCTGTGATCCATAAAAAAAAAATTCTGAAGTATTGAATCGAAAACGCCCCAAAAAATTAAGCTTATGCTAAAATCAAAATCTCCAATTAAACTTGAACACAAGATGAAAACAAAACCCAAAATCAAAATTAAACCTGAATATAAAATCAATTTCTGAAATCTAATTAAACCTGAAATTTTTGTTAACCGATTTCTTCTTCAACTGAAATCAAATTCATGGAATTCGACAGAATATAATCAAAATTGGCACCAAATCATGGATGAAACTAAAAGAATACGGATGAATCAGAGTTGTAAATAGTTAGGCCTTTCAACTAGATATATTGGTATCGATTTTGTTCATGTTGATGATGTTCCGCCTACCCACACCACCGAACTGAGAATAGCTAAATGGAATTGATGGATGACGGTCACGACTTGTGAGGAGCTGAACAAAAAAGATGGGACTGTTGTTGATTGTGTTTTCCAAAACTTGACCTACCTCTCTGGAACCTCGAGGTGTGGATGCAACGGTGGTTATGGGTGGTTGTTTCATCGATTTAGGGTTACAATGTAACATCCATAAAAATTAGGCCAAATTTAAACTTTTTCAAAATATTTCAAAACTATTAATTATTACAAAACTTCTTTTCAAAATAATATAATATCAGAGTGTCCCAGAAATAAATCATAAACATGAGGAGCTTTATTATGATCACGCCTTTGCCTTCCCACAATCATCTGATGTACCTTAAACAAAAACTGAAACTGTAAGTCCGAAGCCTAGCGAGTCTCCCCAAAATACCCATGACATACAGATATAACCTTATCATATAAACATATAAGCAAACAAGATGCATAACGAGCCATTAGTCCGACTGGACCGACTCCAGGTCCTCAGAATATTTGGACCGCTCTCTTAGCCCTCGGCACGTTTGGACCGCCCTCCTCAGGAACTTCAGCCTATCCGGACCGCTTGTTGGGCCTTCGGCCTGACTAGATTTGCTCGGCTCGGGCGTATAGTCTACCCGGTCCACCTAAGGTATCTTGGCCTACTGCACACAACAGCGCTTGCCTCAACCCTTTCCCAAAACAACAAACATGTACACATACATATAAAAAAGTAAACAGGGAGATCTAACCGATCACTAATCATGGAAACTATCCTACAACCAGGATACCGATCTAACCGATCACTAACATAATAACCATCCTATAACTAGGATACTGGTATAACCGATCTCTTTCATGGAAACCATCCTAGCTACCAGGATGTAAATCAGCAAACATATCATGCAATAAACCCGAATGCAAATCCAAAATGGGTCGGAATTAGTGCCTTCGACCCTATTAGTATAGTGAGGACAACTCACGTCTCGACTGTCGAATTAAAGTGATAACGCAACTCTCGAACCACAACCACAAACTCTACCACTTATATTTACCATGAGACCTTTTCCATAAATTCCAATTTACCAAAATACCCTAGAAGTCAACTAGTCAACCCTTGGTCAAAGTCCAAGTCAATGGTCGAGGTCAACAGTCCATGTTGACCAGACTCGTCAAGTGCAGTTCATTGACTCGTCGAGTCCTTCTTGAACTCGAGAAACCGTGAAATCCACCGTTGACTCGTCGAGTTTCCCTGAAACTCGTTGAGTTTATGTATGTCCATGATGTAACCTTGCTCTTGTTCTGGGTGTGAGAACTAGAATTTGATCAGTTGCGCAGGGACAAGGTTTGAGAATACAAACCTTGAATGAATGCTTAAGATTAATGTCTGCTAACAATATGAAGTTTAAGTCTAGACTAGAAAGACCAGTCAAGTCTTAAATATTATATTCAATAAGCGATCAAGACATTAAATGAAGAATAAAAGTAAATGATCAAGGTAAAGCTAATAAATGAAGAACAAGAAGAATGTTTGAAAAAGATTTGAGATAACTAAGTAATTGCCAAAAGATGAGCAAAAGATTTTTCTTTAATTTGTATTGAATGCTCCTTTATATAGGAGAGAATGTTACAATGAATTAACTGAGTAACTTACATCGGACGAGACAATAGAACTATTTCTAACATTCTGATTGTCGAATACAACAAAAGGTTAAGTTGTAACAACGTGAATTTTCAAAACAATTTTTCGTTTTTCAAGCAACATAAACCATCATTTAATATTCTGAAATCACATGTATAACAAATGTCATCGTAACAAAATACATCCCAAGATCATAAAACAATTCCTTCGTCAGTGTGTACAGATCACGCCGGTGCCTTCCCACGGTCCTCGCTAGTACCTGAAACACATAACACAACAATTGTAAGCATAAATGCTTAGTGAGTTCCTTAAAATACTACTTACGCACATACGCCCTTCCGGGACCTGACCTTCCGGTCCATGTGTCTCAGGGGACTTCCGTCCCGACTCAGTAAACCTTCCGGTCCTATCTGCGTCAACCTTACGGTCCACATCACAACGCCTTCTGGCCCATAACATATATGCCTTCCGGCCCATAACATAATGCCTTCCGGCCCATATCAAGCATAACATACATAGCACATACAACGGTTAACTTATCATATACAATGCATAAAGCTCATAACATATCCGACCGGTCACACAATAAAACCCTTCCGGGTACAATATAGTGAGAAAACTCACCTCGTGGAAAGTCTAGAATCTCGCGTGCTCGCTATCTCCGAATCCCAACCCCGCCTAATCATAACGAATATCATTTAATTAATATAGACTT